CGAGGCAGCCAATCAGTGATTCTCTCTCATCATTGATATATTGATGTTTCTCTCTCTCTGCCTTCCTCTCTGAAATTAATAAAAATATATATTTTTAATGACAAGAGCCAGCACAATAGCTGTGAATGAATCAAAACCATACTGTTGGTTTTTTTCTGTCAGATTGGCAAAAAATATATTTTTTGGTGTGTCACAGAATTTTAGTAATTAGTTTATGTGTGACATGAGTTGAAAAATGTTGAAAATTAATTAGATAAATAATGTCTTCTGTGCAGGATACCAAAATGTTATTTTTTAAAAGTAATGAGGTATTCTGGGTAAGCCTGGTAGTCATAAAATACCACAAATAAACTGGGAGTGTTCACATTATCTGTGACAGTATCATACAGGTCAAGAGGATTTTGAGGATTCTTTGGAGGAGGCACAAGTAACGACTGATTTCCACGTTCATACAATCCAGTAAGCACACGGACATAATACATATGCTTTTTCCCATTTGCATCTGGTCTGGAGTAAGTATCATTGGCAGAATAACTGGCACTGACAGCAAAGTAGGTTCCCTTTCCGTATGCCACAGCTGTGAAAAGAAAAACAACGTTTTTAAGAATTCCAATATGTCTATAATTTGATGTATTGACTCAATATGTCAAATAATGTTAATATAATGTTCAGTTCTCTCTAAAGCCTCCTTAAAAATGTGTGTGTGTGTGTGTGTGTGTGTGTGTGGGTGGGTGTGTTTAATTTCAAAAAATCATTCCTCCACCTCAAAGGGACAGTCAGTCCCTTTGAGAGGAAACATAGTGAGTCTGACCTGAAACTTTTGCTGCATCCTGACCATGAGCCATGAGGGAACACAATGCAATCCGCGGGACCCCTGAGCCAGCTTGGCTTCTCTTGGCTGACACCTCCTTTGGAGCAGCCACGTGACTTATTTCCTTACCATTCTTTCCTGCATAACTGCGGTTAAAGCCATGTTGGTTGACATGTGGCAAGGAGTCAGCATCTGTCCCATGGAAGAGCAGCTTCTCATTTTGTATATGGCCATTCTTATCATCCATGGTTTTTTTCTTTGTCTGGTAGTGCTGCCACAGACTTGGGTTCTGGATTCTCTCAATCTGAAAATCAATAAGGAAAATCCTGCATGCCCCCTACTGGGGACTGAGCCTGCAACCCAGGCATGTGCCCTTATCAGAATAGAACCTGGGAAGGCTCACACTCCATCCACTGAGCCAAACCAGCCAGGGCACTATTTTTTTTTTCTAGTAATCCTCACCCAAGGATATGTTTAGAGAGAGGAAGGGGAAAGAGATAGAAATGGAGATAGAGACAGAGATAGAGAGAGGCAATGATGTGAGAAACATCGATCTATTGCCTCCCATATGTGCCCAAACAAGACTCAAAACCACAACTTGGTATGTGCCCTGACCAGGAATCAAACCCAAAACCTTTTGGTGTTCCAGATGGCACTCCAACCAACTGAGCTACCACTGGCCAGGGCATGACCACTATTTTTTATAAGTAAAAATTAGTATAAACAGCAAATCCAATGCCAAGTGGCTGCTAACTATATTCAGAAATCTTTTCACATCCAGTGCTTCACAAATCGGGCCTTGGGGAAAAAGTTACTTTAATTTTTAACATCTTTTATGCACCACATGCAGCAAGCAATATTTAGGATCTTGGATGACCAAGGCAGCTCAACTCCTGCTTCTTACTTTCACTTTATTTACTGCTCCTGTTGCAGTCTATCCCTCTTTGTCCCTTTGCCTCTCTCCTCTTCAGTCCTTTTAAGATATTGGTTTACCTAGTTAAGGTCTAACCATGGGAGAAGCACTAGAGTGTCTAGGCAAGAAGGAAATTAGTTAATGGAACTCATCTAATTAGAAGAGTGAATGATGAATCCTGGAGACAGGGAACCTGGCTGTAGACCAAAGTGGCCATGTTTTTTCTTTTTTAATTTATTTTTCAATTACATTTTACATTCAATACCATTCTCTATTAGTTTCATGTGTACAGCATAGTAGTTAAAAAGTTACGTACTTTACAGAGTGCTCCCTCCGCTGCGTCAAGTACCCACCTAGTCCTATACCCATTTATCTCGATATTATGCACTATATTCTCTACACTGTAATCTACACTTCTGTGGCCATTCTGCAACTAGCAATTTTTACGTCTTAATCCCTTCCTCTTTGTCACCATGTCCCCCCAGTACTCTAGCTATCAGTCTGTCCTCTGTATCTATGAGTCTATTTCTATTTTGTTTATTTATTTTATTCATTAGATCCTATATGTAAGTGAAATCATATGGCCATTATCTTTCTCTGACTTATTTCACGTAGCATAATCCCCTCTAGTTCCATTCATGCTGACATAAAAGGTAAGACTTTCTTCTATCGTACAGCCCAAAGTAGTATTCCAATGTGTAAATGTACTGCCACTTTCTTATCCACTCGTCTACTGATGAGCACTTGGGCTGCTTCAAAATTTTGGATACTGTAAATACTGCTGCAATGAATGTAGGGGTGCATATATATATTTTTTTGAACTAGTGTTTCTACTTTCTTTAGAGATAGTCCCAGCAGTGGAATCACTGGGTTAAAAGGCAATTCATTTTTAATTTTTTGAGGAACCTCCACACCATTCTCCATAGTGGCTACACCAATCTGCATTTCACAGTGGCAGGCTTTGACCATCTTCTTTGGGCAGCGGTTGCAGGGATGTGGTGAAAACTCCTTGGGTCCTGGATTGCAGTTCAGCTACAAAACTTCCCTAACCAAGGAGAAACCAAGATGGTGTCATAGGTAAACATTGGATATTGCTGCCTCGCACAACCACTTCAAAAATACAACCAAAAGATGGAACGGACATCACCCAGAACCACAGGAAGGCTGGCTGAGTGGAAATTCTACAACTAGAAGGAAACAGAAAAGTATACCGAGACTCAGAGGAGGTACGGTGTGGAAGTAAAATACTAAGGTGCGGAGGTGAATGTGGAAAGGGCTGGTGGCTGAGGACACGGTTGTCTTTTTCAATCAGGAGGGAGTCTCAAGCTCCCGACTGCTCTGAACTCCAGTTCTGGGC